TCCTGACGGCAAACATCTGCACCTGGTTTGGGAACAGCACCAAGCAGGACAGACGAGATCTGCAAAGAGTGGTGCGCTCGGCAGAACGCATCATTCAATCAGAGCTCCCTGACCTGCTGTCCATCTACACCAAGCGGTGCAAGTCCAAAGCTAGGAAGATTATGATGGACCTCTCCCATCGCAACAATGGACTCTTCTCACTGTTGAGGTCTGGGAAGCGCTTCCGCTCCCTTAAGGCCAAAACAGAGAGAATGAGAAGGAGCTTCTTCCCCCAGGCTATTCGGGCCCTGAACCAGGTGTAGGACTGGACTCTCCCACACACGTCACTATAAGACTGGACTCTCACACACGTCACCACACGCACCACCACACATTTCCTATAATCCTATAATTTATAATCCTTATAATCTCTTCTGCTATTTGCACATTCTTTACTGTAAATTCCTAAGTTAATTTGTAAATTTTTGTAGTAAATTGTAAATATTGTAAAACTTTTCTTCTGTCATTTACTGGTCGGGCATTGTACAGCTACAAGCATTTCACCCCCATGTCATACTGTGTATGGTTGTGTGTGACAAATAAAATTTGAATTTGAAACCAAAATATAACACCTGCTATACACAAGATGAGGACAACACCACATAGTTGGACTTTGGATAAAACTTGAAACAAAGTGAAATCAGTTGTTTTGATTTTGCCCACATTTACAAACGTAGACAGCCACAGCAGATACTGGTCAATTTTAATGAATCTGACGATATTTTTTTTCAGCATGGATGGCATCACAACCCGTGGGAGATTCAGTCAAACTTCACAGATGTGTAGTTCATTGAGTCTGAAGTACTCACTGGTGTTACAGATGGTGTGCTCCCACCACGAGGTGATTTCTAGTGCTCACTTTTGTTTCCAAAAATCTTATCTTTGACCTTATACACCACCTTAAACAGCAATATCTAGTCAGCCGATCTTATGACTTTAATTGAATGAATTTAAGTATGTAGACATGATCAGCGCAACATGCTGAAGTTCAGATTGAGCATTAGAATGGGGACAAAAAGATGTTGGTCTGAGTGTTTCAGAAACTGCTGAGTGAGCGGCAGTTCTCTGATGAAAAAGCTCTGTCACTGTCAGAGAAGAATGGCCAAACTGCTTTGAGCTGATAGGAAGGGAACAGTAACTCAAATAACCGCCTTGATTCTGTGATTTGTCCCAGCTGTCGTGAGGAAATACAAGAGCACATCGCATCTTTGAGAAATTTGTTCCCAACTCCGACAGAGCCTTTTGGTTCCCGACCATACGTGCGCATACATACCTTGTATGGCATGGACTCAAAGAAGATTGAGGTTGCCGAGATTTTTTTCTTCTCAGTCATGAAGCCGTGCGTCAGGTGACCTCCATCTGGAAGATCCAGCCCCATGATCCTGCCGTGGGGCTCCACAACAGCCGTGTAGACGGCGAAGTTTGCAGGTGACCCTTACAGAGAAGCACAAACGGTATGACAGTAAGTGACAGGAGCACGGCAGATGTTGCATGCCAACGGGTGTAGTCAGACTCAGATTTAAATGCATCCATATTTGATACCCGAGTATGGCTGAACGTTGACACCCCATTTCTCCGAGTCCAGACTGTAGGCCTCCAGTGCTCTCTTCTGACAAAGTCTTTCTAGCTCATCGATATGCTCCGTACCACCGTAGTACCTGTACACATGAATCATGCTCACCATTACAAATAATGTTCATAATGTTAATGCCACACTAATGAGATTGAGCCAGTTGGGATTTTAACTAGATTGTACCTCTGGCCAGGATAGCCCTCGGAGTATTTGTTGTTCATACAGGAACCCAGCGCTTCAAGAACAGCTCTGCTGGCAAAGTTCTCAGATGCTATCAGCTCCAAACCGTACGTCTGCCTGTGCTTCTCTTTTTTAATAATGGAGAACACCTGAATACACACACACACACACACACACCTGTTAGGTGGGAACTCTCAAAGGCCCATTATTAGGTACACATTTATTAGGTAATTTGATGTTTTACCTCCACTAAACACAAACCTCTGAGTCGTTGACTGCCAGCGGCTCCAGCAGCATCTTGTTGTGCGATTCCCATTCTTCTTTGCTTATATGATGGGCGTTAGATAAAGACATGATTGCTGTTTTTTTCTTGGTCTCACAAAGTGGAAATCTAAAAGATGAGACTTTTACACAGACATAAAAACAAAAACAATATCAATTTGAAAGAAACGAACATCTGTGTGTGATGATACAGCATGCAGACAGCGCTGCTGACAAACTGGCCCTACAGATGCTCCATTATTGCAGCACAAAGCCTCAGACAAAGAGTGAATATGCAGCAGCACACCACCCCTGCTACAGTATTATAGTGATAAGGCTAAACTTTGAACCATAGCACTGAACAAAAAGGTCACTGAACTACACAATAAGCCGCATCACTGGTTATTTTGTAACCCAGATAACAAGCTCACTGCTCCATGAAATCCACAGCTGCCAGATCTTTATCAGACTGTCTCTCCTCATGACAGTCATGCATCTGTGCAGCGCATGCTTCTCATTACATCTCCTGACTGACCCAGAAAGACAGCAACAGCTGTTCAGTGCACACGCTGGCTAAACCTGAACTGAGAGGACCCCTGAACACATCATCAAGTTAAAAAAACACAAAACGTGAAAACTTCTACCTGCAGAGCTAATCTGCTTTAACGAAGGTTAAAGTGCAAAACACATTTACTTCTCCACATATTTTCTCCCTGCTCGCATTAACATTACCGTCCTCTGTGTGTGAAACTTTAACCAGCTCACCGTCTGCGGAGACTCCCGCGCTGTCAGCCGGACACTGAGCTGAAGTTCGAGCCCCTGAGCGCCAACAGTAATATCTGCTTCTCAGCGGAGGGTAAAGTCCGCCAAACTTCCCACCAATCAGCGCATCGCTTCTTCTTCGTTTGCTTTTTATCCTGCGTGCTACATTCTTTACTGCCACCTTGTGCTACGGGCACAGACATGAAGACGACTGTGAGGAAAACTGGAGATCAGCTCACCGGACACATTATTAGGCACACTTATTAGCATGCTCATTAACTAAAAAATCTAATCAGCCAATCACATGACAGCTCATCTGCATCTCTAGATATGTAGATCAGGTTCAAAGTAACCATCAGCATGGAGAAGAAAGGTGTTTTAAATTTCTATTCTGAGGATTTGCTGTGATATTCCCATACAAACATATGTAGAGTTTACAGAGAATGATCTGAAAAGGGGAAAATATCCAGTGAGCAGCAGTTCAGCTAACCCCCTTCCACCATAGGAATCTTACAGTGGACTGAAAACAGGAGACATTGCATTGGAAAACTTTGCAAAGAATTTTATTTCTTGTAAATGTAGTCATTAATAATAGGAGGGGTTGTGGGTTGTTGTTGTTTTTTTACTTACCTCACATTGGCCATGTTTAGTAGCTGCTTTTCTGGATTTTTAATTTTATATTCAGTTAAAACAAACATTACTTTTGTCCTTGTGCCTTACTCCTCAGTCCCTCACATAGACCGGTGTCTGTGGAAGAATCCCAGCAGATCAGCAGTTTCTGAAATATTCAGGCCAGCATGTTTGGCACCAACAATGATGCCACATTGAGTCACTTAAGTCACCTTTCTATCCCATTTTGATGTAATTCAAATCACCAAATCAGTGCATTCCCAAAAGCACTGATTTGCTGCCAAGTGATTGGCTGATTAGATAGTTGAAGTTAATGAGCACCTAAAAAGATGTACCCAATGAAGTGGCCAGTGAGAGTATATCTATGCATACCATGATGAAGAACAGCTGTAAAATAGCACTTCTCATATCTAACTTTGGACTGTTGGTGCCACCACAAACACACGTCTAACAGAAATCACATTAATTCCATATTAAATCGTCCACAGTTAAGATCAAAGGATAGATAAATGTGATTAATAGCTTCAGTCATTTCAGTTCATTATAAATGTATAACTCCCAAAGAAATAAATTATATTTTCATTGATGCATCTTCTCATGTGTATTTAAACGCAGTTCTGTATTTTTCTACAGTTTTGCATCTGTGGTTTGACTGAAGCTTGTAAAATGTTATTTGACTTTTGTGCGTCTTTATCAGTCTCTCACATCATTGTGGTGGAATTTGTGTGGGCCCACTTTTTAACTCGTGAATGACCTTTCTTACTACAGCAGACAGACTTCAAATTGCTTAGAAATGACCTTATAATGCTCCCAGATTAATGTACAACAACAATTCCTCCTCTGAGATCAGTGCTGAGGTCTGTCCTGTTTGCGTTAACATACACACAGCCCAGCAAACTGACAAAACCTCTGTTTTTATGGAGGTGGCCACACTGACTGATGATCAGTTTATCAAGTTCATTTGATTAGCAGAACTTGCCGCTACTTACTGTTTCTAACAGAATTAAGAGGGTAAGGGTGGACTTAGTTTTTCATGCGAGTCAAATTTAGGTTGATAGGATGAATGGTTTCTTTATCTGAGACTATTTGTGTGCAAGTTAGTTTATTGTAATAAACATAATTTAATAGCAACAAAGTGTTAGAGTAAAACTTTAATTTGTAATACATGCACTGAACCCATCGTGCCATGAGCTTTTTCATGTCATAGAATGAGTGTGGCATCTGGGACACCGATCAAATCTTTATTTAAATGCTCCTAATTATTGGGTTGCAGGTAATGCTTCCATGCATTATACCAATGACTACCACACTTCCAAAGCCATATTTTACTCATTTTAATTTATCAGTTACATTAACTGATAACTATTTGGTTTTTTAAATCTACCTAACGAATGCGGTCTAAACCTGCAGTGAATCGGCAGACTCCACAAAGTAAATATCAGCTGACTTCCATATCAGCGGACCCAGATGTGGACTCTTGCACCTGAAGTTACAAAAGTCTCCTCTACACCAGGACATTCTGGTAAAGAAGCAAATAAATGAACAGACACATTTCACTGGTTCATCTTATTAATCTGAAATATTTTCATGAGTCAGTTATATACAATGTAAGTCCCCCCCCCAAAAAAAACCCAAACAAAAAAGAGTGGCAAAACTCAGTTAGGAAAGTTGAAATTGTACAATGATGAGTTTACCATGTTCAATATCGAGGGGTTCATCCCAATGTACGTGAATTTGATTTCAATTGTAGCTTTACTTCCTGGAAGGAACGAGGCCGTTATTCCCACGCCAAAATATACACAACCCCTCTTCACTGGTGTCTCCTCCGACGGTCACACGTTACAGTAAATATCAAATACTCTTCATAGATCTTCCTTTAAAAATAGTCAAAGATATATTGCCTCAGTCCATGCGCAAGTGAAAACGCTTCGGATACTGTGCATCATTTGAGAGATAGGGAGTTTATTCCTCTAGCTGCTGCTGCTGCCGCTGCCGCCGCTTCTTTTGCTGCAAAGAGAAAATTCAAGATGAAAACAACCAGTTGTTGTAGTGGACCTAGGATTGATTAACTACTAATCCACGACTACTGCAAATGCTGGGATTGTGTCAATACATTTCTGGAATCAGACTAGACATCATTACATGCTTAATAGACCATCTCAGAGCAGGAAATCAGTCACATGAATCACAATTATTTTGGAGTGGACTAAGCAGGATTAAGTACTTTGTCAGCTTTCTTAATTTAATTCTGAACTTCAGTGTGCATGACTCAAGTCACAGCCTGACCTGACTATCAGAAATGTATCTACACATGGCAACAAATGGGTATTATTGTCAAAGGTCTGTTTGACAGCAATAAGTGAGTATATTGTTAGCACAAGGATGCGACAAAATGTAATAAGCTTCAACTGTGTTTTGTGTTCTGCCAGTGTAAACAAGTGCTGTTTTGTTTTGTTTTTTTACTCAGAGTCAACAGGAGACTTCTTTCACACAGAAATACATGCACACACTGTACAGGACAAGAGAGATTTATCAACACTAACAAGTTTATTAAAGTACACCTAATACGCTCTTTCTGACTTTTGTATCAACTGTGGACACTCATGTTATCAAGGTCAACAGTACAAAAAAAAAAGTTCAGGCTTCAAACTGCTCCAAACACTCAGTGTCAGACAGGGTTTTTTTTCTACTGTTGACTCTGTATGACATTAATTAGAGCAGAGATCCTGAACATAGTCATTTCAGGAAGATGGCTCTGGCGTGAACACAGAAGCCTCGCCCACCTGATGTTTCAAGCCTGCTGGTTGGGCGGGACAGCCAATCAAGAGAAAGGTTTGTCTTAAAGGAGGAGACACTAAAACAGCCTATTGCAGACAAAGGACATACCAAAATGCTCAACCAAAGACTAGTATGAGAAATATGGATTATTTTTGAAATGGGAATCATTCAAAGCTATTCTAAAGGAGTGGAACTGAAAACAAGCGCAACAGATCAATGCCGGGAGATACAAGTATGGCAAACATCAATTACAATACTGCCATAACTGTGACAATCTGGCTTTGTAACACCAATAATAACACTTTGACCATTGCTGCAACTCCTCAGGAAAAGTGCAGAGTAATCGTGCTTGCCCTCCACTTGGTATAAGACACAAGAAAAACAAATATGAGCTAATGGGAAAGAAGTGGGACATCTAGCACTTGCAAAATAAGGCAGGGGCACCAATTCAGGTTTTGTACAGTGTAACAGGACAGTGATTTGTCCCTCAACTAAGTCTTATCACCACTTTAAACTGTAAGACATATATTGTTATGTTGTATGACTACCATTGAGTACTGAATTAGAAAAGCAAGGTTTTAGGTAAATTATTTTAATTGATTTAGTAAACATAAAAAACACTTTATTGTAAGAGCCTCTCCTTGCAGTGAGGAAAGTAACTTATTTATTACTAACTGAAAACTGGAGATAAGATGAGTAAAAACATCATAAAACAAGTTCGGAGGTAACAGAAAGTGGACTGGTACTCCTATAGCACCTTTCCATTTTTAAACAGCCGTCTACAATCACACACAATAAATTAGTGCTTTTATCTAACCCTAAGCACCTTTTAATATGTAATATTGTAAACTAAACCTGTTACAATAATAAATATATAATACATACTGTATACTATTAAAAATAGTATGTATTTTCACTCCTCCAGCTGCCCTTAAGATATCATCGAAAAGAATGCTGAACACTAAAAAAAAGTAATAGGGTGTAAGGTGTGCCAATAACAGTGCAGTTTTTCTGAAAATAAATGTAAAGAATTCACTTTCATTGCCAGTTTTCCTCACAGGAAACTCAACATTTACCACCTGGTGTTTAATTCAGTCTGTGCTGTTAAATAACCACTTATGAAATGCCTGCACAGCTGAGGTACTTACCTTTTTTCTCCTCTTCTTTCTTTCTTGCCGCATCCTCTCTCTGTTTTCTAATGATGGCGAGGCGAGCGAGGTCAGCTTTGGCCTGGTCTGTCTTGCCGGCCAAGTGCATCTTCATGTAACGCTCCTTGGCCTTCTGCTTCTCGATCTCTTCTCTGTGCAGAAGAACATGTTTCAAGGTTAGAGGAATGACAGGAGTTCAGTTTTCCTGTAATGTTCTACACACAAAAAGCCTTTATGACACATAGTCACCTCAGATTAGATTTGTGTGTACCAAACAGCTTTTTCTCAAACTGTTAACAATTTGCGGTTCAGGTTCAAAATCCACAATAGTCCAAATCTCATAAGCTCATTGAAAAGGTTTCATTTAATACTATACTTTCAAGTAAAGTCCCCTATTGGCACTAATACAAGGTGACAGGCTGATGACACACACCTCTCTCTCCTTGACAATTGCCGGGGCTCTTCCAGCTCAATCTGCGTCACCTTCTTGGACTTCTGAGCCACTCTGTTGGGGTTCTCAATTTCTATCAATCCCTCGACACCGGCTCTCCTCCTCTGCAGACAAACACCAACATCTCATACAGTGCAAGCCAAACACTAACCACATATTGAGATCATAAGAAGTGCTTTAAGTGTGCACATTAAATAACACATTGGCTTTTATGTACATGATGGAAAAGCTGTGGCAGTACCTGGGAATCTTCATCATCGCTGTCCTCTGATCCAGAACCTGGTAGCTTCTCCTCTGCTGTGTCATTCTGAGCTGCACCTTCCTGCTCCTGCTCTTCTTGCTCTTGCTACAATACATAAATGACTGTTATTTTTTAGATAATACATAATAAAGATGTTTAACTAATCATCTAATCGCTGAGATACTTTAAGAAAAAGAAGTGCAATTTCAACAATACATCTCAATTTCTCTACATGATATATTTTTGTAAAATGGCATAACCCCCTCCCTTTTTTTGGTAGCTCATTAAATAAAAAGGTTCTATAGCAGATGGTGAAAACTGTAACTTTTCAGTCATTTACTTGTTTAGCTGTTACTTAATCACTTTGGTTCAGTATGAGTTGTTATGGGGGGGACTGGCTTTTCTTTTTCAATAAGAAAACCTATGAAAAAAGTGGGCCAGACTGGATTCTTTGCTGGACCGATTCTAGCCCCCTTGCCTTATGTTCGACATCTCTGACGTAACAAGGATAACTTTCAATCAGGAGTGTCTAACAAAAATGTATCCGGCTATGTTTTATTCTTTTCAGCTGTTTTCGCGTTGCATTGTGGGAAGTGTAGTCTCCAGCCGGTCTACTTGTGTGGGACATGACTGAGTGTACACTCCACCAACCTTTCTCCTCTCCTTTTCTGCCTTCATCTGGGCATCTATCTCTTCGGGGCTGGTGTACGTCCGCATCCGACCCTTGTGGCCACCTTTCTTACCTGGAAGGATGACGAAAAACACAGATGTGATCGCATTTTGTACAGAGCACGAAAGAAAGAGCGGGCAGACAGGCATCAGATGAATCTGAGCAGTTTATAGACATGCTGGCACAGGCCTGCTTAATGCTGAAACATCATTCAGAGCGTAGTTATGCGAGTTAGAATGCCGCCCCAGCGGTACATGTCGATCGGGTGGCTAACAGCGGACAAACAAACATACAAAAATGATTTCAGTCCATTCAAACAACTTTTAGAGTCACTCTTACCTCCTTTTGGCATTTTAACAAACTAAGTCTTTACTATAAAGTCCCTAACCAGTGAACACTGACAGAAAACATAAATGTGACGGCAGCGACACAAACTGACAGCTGGCTAAACTCACAGTTGCAATAAGGAGCAGTATATTTTGAGTTGTCCAAGGATATGCCGGTTCATAAATAGTGAACACATGGGTTTTTTTGGTAAGCCCGTATGCCGCTATGAACCACACATAAAATATTCCAAAAAACGTGTTAGTTATTTTTCCAAATAACATTGGCTATCGTAGTGTAGAAATCTAAATAATGCCCTTAAATGTAAGGCAATTTGTAAGACTGCTAAAGTGATGCAATAGACCAGACCCGACAGTAAAACATACTTAACCGTACGAAATAAGTATTTTAGGGGAACTTGCATAGTTTATTAGGCTGAGACAAGTTTTAAGAAGTTACTTAACGCCTTTATAAAGAGGTTATCTTAAGTTTCGCGCAATGACGTCGTTCGAGAGACGGAAGGCCTTTTAATCAACCCCCGCATGTGACGTCATATATACGCGCCTGAGAGGGGCTCGTAAGACAAACAGGAAAATACTTAGAGCGTTTTGTTGCATTTTTAGCTAAACAGAGACAAAATGCCAAAAGTAAAGAGGAGTCGAAAGCCTCCCCCAGACGGCTGGGAGCTCATTGAGCCCACTTTGGACGAGCTGGATCAGAAAATGAGAGAAGGTAGGCCAGGGAAGTTTCTCGGGGTGATCGGCCGTGGGGCTGTGTGCGCAAAGTGAGTCCTGTGTATGACACTGTGAAGCAGCATGGTCTCCCCACACTGATGGATTCGGGTTATTCAGTTTCAGTACATGTTTATATTTGAAACACAAGTTGGCTCTCACCTGAGTTATGTGATGTACCCACAGTAAAAAAAAATTGGGGTGAGGTGGGGTGGGGGCGCGGGCAGTGGTTTTCCTGGATTTCCTGGATTTCCTGTTCACATCAGCTACATCCGGTAACTGGGAAGAAATGGGAAGCTCACCTGGCCCATCATATTTCTGCTTACAGGTGCCAAAATCCTGTGCGGGTTCACCACATTAATACATTGCATTGTATCAGTTCCCCAAGGCAGGTAGTCCTTGTGATGTCATGCTCCTGGTATCAAAGCTAACCATCCTGAATCTTGTTCTGTGTTCTAGCTGAAACTGAGCCGCACGAGGGGAAGCGAAAGGTGGAGTCCCTCTGGCCCATTTTCAGGCTGCATCATCAGCGGAGTCGATACATCTATGACCTATTCTACAAAAGGAAAGCCATCAGTAGAGGTGGGCACAGCCAGCTGAAGTGTTTCCATTACACAGGTTGTGTTTAGGGCAGCTATGGACCACTGCTAGCACTTTCATCTCCTTGGAGGACCACTTTAGTCTTCAAGTATTACAAAAAAACCCTAACAAACAAACAAACAAGAAAACGCCCACAAAATACTTTAAAAAATGTAGTTTTGTTGTTGTTTTTTTTAAAATTTCAGATATTGTATAACAAAACAAAACTGCACAAGTAAACACAATTTTTTTCTAACTTCCAAATGAAGCCTTTTATTAAACTACCAAATAAAAAAATTGGCACTCTTTCTGGCCAGACACGTGACAGCACGTCTGCTAATATTTTGTTTGTATTTAACACAATAAAATATAGACATAAGTGTACACAATAGTTTTTGAGTGCTAGTGAAAATGGTTTTCTTTACAAATAATTCTCTCACTGAAACACTCACAGCCAATCCCTCAACATGTTTATACTCTGCTCATTTTGCCTTCGTATTAAATAATTTTTTGCTTTTTAAAGAACTTGTTTTAACATTGCACTCAACAACAAACAAATCCTCCATAACAAAAAAGGAATTTCAAGGGCCAAATTGCATTATATTTCTTCACGTCAATATACAGGCTGAAAGTGGCCCCTGGGCTGTGAGTTTGAGATCCCTGGTCTAGGTATACGCATTCATAGTGCACTTACTCGGACTATACATGTGGAAAATGCATCTATGAAAAGCCATCAGTGTCTTCATTTGGTCCGGAGACTCGTGGCATTGGTGGCTGGGAAGAAACTCTTATGTCATGGCATCAGCAGCTTGTTTTGAAATGCAGTAAAGGCTAAAGCTGAAAATGTTTTTAAATAACATTAAAACGCTGGGGGGGAAAAAAAACACTGAAACAATAACCCTCTCTCCCCGAGGTAATTTGTACATTGACGAACTCTGGTAGGAGGTACAGGATTCCCTCATGTAAGCCTAACCACTATACTCATTTGTTCTTCTGTTAGTTAAACCGATTAATGAACATGACAGAGAAGTGTTTTTTGAGGTGAATATTTCAAATGATAATTATTAATTGTTATTCATTTATTCATTCAAGTGTGAATGCCTGCTTAGGGTGTTTGTCTTGATTTGTGTTGATGTCTAATTATTGATGCAACAGTTTCCTGATCCAGGACGAGTTTCTTCTATGGGAGATGGTAAAGGTATCTTATCTTAACATTTCCTGTTCTGGAATGTACAAGATATCAAACCTGTACTGTGTTTCTTCCTTGCAGAGCTATACGAGTACTGTATAAAGGAAGGCTACGCAGACAAGAACCTCATTGCCAAGTGGAAGAAGCAGGGCTATGAGAACCTGTGCTGCCTGCGTTGCATCCAAACACGAGACACCAACTTTGGAACCAACTGCATCTGCAGAGTCCCCAAGAGCAAGCTGGAAGTTGTAAGTCTGGCAGTATTTTAGCATTTCTTGCTAGAATCATCTTTTCAAACAGTTTCCAAGGAAACAACAGATTGAGCTTGTTTCTGTTTAGACAGAATTTGTGTGTTTGTATGAAGAAAACACAAAAAGGAAACAGAAAAGGAGACTAGAAAGCTGAAAACGTGACTGTCAAATTGAAGAAAATATGAGCTTATTTTCTTGATCAGGCAAACACGTTCAATGTACAGTAGCTTGCAAAAGTATTCAGCCCCTTGAACTTTTCCACATTTTGTCACATTACAGCCACAAACATGAATCAATTTTATTGGAATTCCACGTGAAAGACCATAGATGGACAGCGTTTGTGAACAGCAGTTTTCAGATCTTGCCACAGATTCTCGATTGGATTTAGATCTGGACTTTGACTGGGCCATTCTGACACGTGGATATGTTTGTTTTAAAGCATTCCATTGCTGCCCTGGCTTTATGTTTAGGGTCGTTGTCCTGCTGGAAGGTGAACCTCCGCCCCAGTCTCAAATCTTTTGCAGACTCCAAGAGGTTTTCTTCCAAGACTGCCCTGTATTTGGCTCCATCCATCTTCCCATCAACTCTGACCAGCTTCCCTGTCCCTGCTGAAGAGAAGCACCCCCAGAGCATGATGCTGCCACCACCATCTTTGACAGAGGGGATGGTGTGTTCAGAGTGATGTGCAGTGTTAGTTTTTCCGCCACACATAGCGTTTTGCATTTTGGCCAAAAGGTTCCATTTTGGTCTCATCTGACCAGAGCCCCTTCTTCCACATGTTTGCTGTGTCCCCCACATGGCTTGTGGCAAACTGCAAACGGGACTTCTTATGGT